TTAAATTATTCCTGCCTGAACACTCATCTCTCTGTCTCTCTCTGTCTCTCTCTCTCTCTCTCTCTCTCTCTCTCTCTCTCTATTTTTTTTTTGTACCCGGTATCGAACTCAGGATCTTGTGCTTGCAAGGCAGGCGCGGTGGTACTGCGCTAAATCCCTGCCCCTGCTCTATATCTTTTAAAGGTATTTTATTAGATTTTTGCAAGTGTAGAATATTCCTGGTAAACTGAAACTTTCCTGTTCTATACACACATGTGTGCTGCACACTCATTCCCATTATTTTACTGTTTCATTTTAACCTATTTGCAGTTTTCCAAGATGTGGACTTCTTTTGCTGGGATTTTTTGCATCAGGCTTGCACTAAGCCCCAACAGGGGCACGTGCAACCACAGAACTAGCTGCATGTTACTGACTCCACTCTGATACCCTGTCACTTGGACGGCCATACCTCTTGGGCTTCCAGGTCTGGCTTCAGCTCAGAACCAACCAGCCTCTGAGAATGAGAAGCAGTAGTTCGGCCAAAACAAACCGCAGCCAGTAGATGGGGGATTTCACAGATGCTCACATTCCAGACAGGCGAATAAGAAGGGCTTAGACCTCAGAGAGGGTTCTATAGGAGACTCACCACATAACGCAGAAAATACTGTAACTTTACAGTTGGTGACAAGAAGAGGCAGCCTCGGCCTTAGAAAGTAGAGGCTTAGTTTAGGTAGCAGGTGGTTGAGACGTTACTTGGTATTTCTTACAGGCACGTGGTGCAAATGGAAAGCACTATTTGGAGCACACAAATCCCAAGTGGGTGTTAGTGAGGGTGAGGTGGAGGATGGTGTATCTGTGGTCACTTTTGGGCTCTCGTGGCCCTACTCCTGCCACTCCGAGACGACGAGCCCAAGGCGAACACTGAGTTTATACTAACTGCACTCATCGAGGGGAGCTCCAGGCACCACCCAACTCTGGGAGTATATTAAGTAGCGAAAAACGTGGGCGGGACAACCAGTAGCCTCTTTGTCATTGGTCAACTCCTGCTAGCTCTCAAGTCAATCAGAGGAGAATGTATCACACTTCCGGTAGGGGGTAGCAAGTGCTGCGGCTTTTCAGAGACCGTCACACTTCTGCTTTCCACCGCTTCCTTCGCGTGTGCTAACATGTTATTTCAGATAATAAACATGCACTCTTTCTTCAAAAAATGAGTTTCATTTATATAATGTGAGAAGTCTGAGTTTAGGCAGTTAAACGCGAAGAAGGGAAAGAATTTTCCTGTTCGGTCCGCCAAACTTCTAAGGCGGGAAAAAGACTCAGTACCGATTCGCACTATCCAGTAAATTGGATATCAACTTATATATTAGTAATAATTATAATAGTTGCTAATGGCACTGTCATTTCAGCTACTAACTTGAAGATGAAACGATACTTTGGCTGGCTGTGGTAATTTGTATAGTTGCAATTACACTTCCAGAATGTCATGTTGAGCCGCAGATTTGCATTATAAATCTGTTATTACCTTAATGACTTTTTTTGGAGAAAAGATCTTGCTAATGTAGTTCAGGCTGGTCTTGAGCTCACTATGTAGCCCAGGCTGGCCTCGAACTCGTGGCAATCCTCTTGCCTCACGAGGGCTCGCACGACAGGCGGGCGCCACCACACCCAACTTAACTGTTGTTAGTTTAAAAGAGATAAATTGAATGGACAACTTTGGTTGCTGGTCGTGTGTGAGTGGTTTGCATGACTTTTGGTCGCTCGCGGCTCCTGTAGCATCCCTAGTAACCGCGACCCCGGTAACCGCCCGCCAAAGCTGCCAGGTTTGTGGAGGCTGCGCCAGCTTACCCGCCCCGGGCCAGCGCTGGCGCTTGAGCCTCGGGGGCGGGGTGATGGCAGCCTCGCACCAGGAGGCGAAACTGGCGGCGGCCAGTCTCCACCTGCCGGTAAATCCCTATACCGGAGCGCGGGTCGCCCAGTACGAGCGTGAAGACCCTTTAGCGGCCCTGGCGGCGACAGTGGCCGCCTCGCAGGAAGAGGATGAGAAGGTGTCGCGGCCCGCGCGGGCGTCGGTAATGCGAGGGTGGGACGCGGGCTGGGGCTGGGCGCGGGCTCTTGCGCCTCAGACCTGGTCTGGCTTCCAGCCCGGCAAGGACGGGCTGGAAACGCGGTGCCTTGTGCAGACCCTCCCTACCTGGTGATCCTGGTCTACCACCTTCACTTTGTCCCTTCACCCCTTCGAAAAAATAATCAAAACCGAGGTTTTTGAAAGTTTTCTTACAGAAGAGATTGTAGTAAAACTTTCTTGGCGAACATTTTTGACTTTCTAGAGAGTGCAAAGTACAGTACTCCCTACCTTCCAGCATCTGTTGGGAACAGACTACCCCCCCCCCCCCCCCAGGAAAACTGGTTTACCGCATGGTAAATTAAAATTCAGGTAGATGAACTGTGCCATCAGGTGTGTTTTATTTATTATGTTAACTTCTTGGTTATTAGCAGATTTTAGCACACTACCTTAGGGGTGAGTGTTTAAAGCCATCAAGAATCCAGTGGATGGGCTGGGGATTTACCTCAGTGGTTCCGCCGCCTGCCTCGCAAGCCCAAAGACCCGAGTTCAATCCCCGGTACCAACAAACAAGCAAACAAACAAACAAAGAATCCAAGGGCTGGAGATTTAGCTCAGTGGTTTCACCGCCTGCTGCGCAAGCGCAAGGACCGGAGTTCGATCCCCGGTACCAAAAAAAAGTTCCAAAGAATCCAGTGGATGGGTCAGACGCAGATTTAGATACGCAAGTAGCCAAACAAATTACTGAGATCCCAGTGTTTCCTAAAGGGGTCTTCAGGGTGGAGTGAGACAGCCTTTACAAAGATCATTTTTCCAGTGTCAAATGTGCCGCAGGCACCTGTGCAGCAGGTGGAGGGCAGAGTCTGCCACCTGGTCTATACACTTACAAGATGGGAACCTTGAATTTTGCAGTATAAATCTCCTTATCCCAAGTTAAGGTTCCTTAATGCCATATGTCCAAAGCTGCTCAAATACAAAATATTATAGTCCAGAGCTTATAAAAATCACCGAATATTTTGCAATTCTAGTCTCTGTAATCTATACTAAAACTGTCAATGAGGAAATCTGTAGCAAACCTTTTATGGCCAATATTTTACCAACATGCAGACAGCTTGAGGTTAACCAGAGTGAGGCACATTGAAACTGAATATGAATCAGAGTTGGAGTTCTAGGACTACTTTCTTTTCTCTTTTAGCAAAATATTTATTAGTACATTTTAGATATACACCAACAGTGGAGAAGTGTTCCTTTTCCCCACAGCAACCCCTCCAGCAATTTGTTATTGACTGATTTCTTGATGACAGCCACTCTTTCTGGAGAGAGATGGAATCTGTGTTGTTTTAATTTTTATTTCTTGAATGACCATGATGTTGAACATTTTTTAATATATATATTTGCTGTTTCTACTTCTTCATCTGAGAAGTCTCTATTCATTTCAGATGCCTATTTTTGGATTGGGTCTTTAAATTGGCAAAGGGGGTGTTGATTTTTTTGAGTTCTTTATATATTCTAGATAGTAGTACTTTGTTTGGTGAATAGCCAGTAAAATTTTTTTTCCACTCTCTGGGTTGTCTCTGCACTCTATTGGTGGTTTCTCTTGCTGTACAAAAGCTTTTTAATAAGATGAGGTCCCAGTTGTTGATTCTTTGTAGTATTTCTTGTGCAGTCTGGGTTTTGTTTATGAAGTCTTTGCCTACTCCTATGTCCTCAAGTGTTCTACCTATTCTCTCTTCCAGCAGATTTAGAGTTTCCGTTTTAATATTTAGATTTTTGATCCATTTCAGTTTTAGGTCAGTGGATGGTGAAAGATGCGGGTCTAGTTTCAATCTTTGGCATGTAGAAAACCAGTTTTTACAGTACCGTTTATTAAAGAGACTATCTTTTCTTTTCTTTTTTTGGCACCGGAACCATTGAGCTAAATCCCCAGCCTCAGGTCTGTTCTTTTGCCAGTACCATGCTGTTTTTATCATAGTAGCTTTGTAGTATAATTTCAGGTCAGGGATTGTGATACCCTCTGCCTTGCCTTTGTTGCCCAGAATTGCCTTTGCTATTCTAGGTCTCTTCTGGTTTCAAATGAATTTTAGGATTGTTTTTTGCAATTGTGTGAGATATTCTATTGGAATTTTGATTGAGATTGCATTAAATCTGTATAACAATTTTGGAAGTATGACCATTTTCACTATATTTGTTCTTCCTATCCAAGAACAAGAGATGTCTTTCCATTTTCTGATATCCTCTTCTATCTCCTTTTTCAGAGTACTGTAGTTTTCAATGTAGAGGTCTTTTACTTCCTTTGTTAGATTGATTCCTAGGTATTTCATTTTTTTGAATGCTATTGTGAAAGGGATTGTTTCTCTAATTTCTCTCTCCATGAGTCAGTTATTTGTGTGTACAGAAAGGCTATTGACTTTTCTCTTTTTTTATAACAGAAGAGAAAGGGATCTGTTTAATGTTTATAAGTATCAAAGTCAAAGTGCCCGCACAGGCTATTGACTTTTCAATGTTGACTTTGTTTTTTTTTGGTATCAGGGATCAAACTTGTGTCCTTGCACTTTCAAGACAGGCATCAGAACCACTGAGCTAAACCCCCGGCCCTTCAGTGTTGACTTTGTATCCAGCTACGCCACTGACTTTGGTTATCAAATCTAGAAGTCTTGGGCCTAGACCTTATCAAATGCTTTTTCTGCATCTATTGAGAGGATCATCTGGTTTTTGTCCTTGGCTCTGTTAATATAGTGTATTACATTTATTGATTTGTGCATGTTGAACTATCCCTGCATCCCTGGAATGAATCCAACTTGGTCATGATGTATAACCTTCTTGATGATTTGCTGCATTCTGGTTGCCAGTATCTTACAGAGAATTTTTGCATCTATGTTCATTAGGGAGATTGTCCTCTAGTTCTCTTTTTTGGTTGGATCCTTCTCTGGTTTTGGAATCAGGGTAATGCTTGCTTCTAGGAATGAATTTGGGAGTATTGATTCCCTTTCAATTTCATTAAAGAGTTTGAGAAGTAGTGGCATTGGGTCTTCTCTAAATTTCTTGTAGAATTCAGTAGTAAATCTATCAGGGCCAAGGCTTTTCTTTGTTGGTAGATTTTTAATTTCATTTTCAATTTCATTGGCTGATATTGGTTTATTTAGAATTTCTATATCTTCTTGATTCAGTTTTGGTAATTCATATGTATCTAGGAATGTGTTCATTTCTTCTGTATTTTCCATCTTATTAGAATACAGGTTCTTGAGGTAGATATTGATGATCTGGATTTCTGCCGGGCCTGTTGTGAAGTCACCCTTTTCATTCCTAATTGCATGGATTTTAGACTTTTCTTTCCTTTTTTTGATAAGATTGGCTAAGGGTTTGTCAATTTTATTTAATCTTTCAAAGAACCAACTCTTCAATTCATTGATTCTTTTTTATTTTTAGTCTCCATTGCATTAATATCTGCTCTGATCTTTATAATTTCCTCCCTCATACGAGCTTTGGGCTTGACTTGCTCTTTTTCCAGAAGCTTGAGGTTCGAAATTAGGTTGTTTATTTGAAAGAACCACAATGTTTAGGATGGGCATGGAGCCTAAACCTAGCCCTCAGGAGAATCGCCACAAGTTCAAGGCTAGCTTGCACTACATAGTGAGACCCTGTCTCAGAAAACAAAAACAAAAACAAAACTCTCAACATTTAACAGGCAAGTAGAGATTAAGGAGCAGTCATTGTGGTAGGAGAAATGTGCAAGAGTGTGGAGGTTCCTGCATTCATTGTAACAATAAGGGAAAGCATCAAATGGTACTTTTCATCCCTGGAGAAAAGGAGCCCAAAAGATAAAGTTTTGTAAATAAGAAGATGAGGGAACTTCCCTCTGATGGTTTCTGTTTTCCTAAAGAAATAAAAGTCAGAGTTAACAGAGCATTTGGAAGGTGGAGGTAGAAGCAGTTAAAGGAGCAAGGGAAAGGTAAACAGAATTGCTGGGGAGGTGGGAGCATGGGTTGCTGGGCAGGCCAGGTGTCCATTAGACATTGTTCAGTGTTTAACTTAGTTTTTATATTCACAAAACATCCTTTGTCTGTTTTGCAAAGTTATAAAGCCAGCCTGGATAACATTGTTGAGGCCTTGTCTCTTAAAAAAAAAATCAAATGTTACATAAAGGCTTTAGGGGCCTCTTCCCTTATAAAGAAAATCTGGATACCCACTCTCTCCCCAGTGGTAACCACTGCTTAAAATTGTTATGGTTTTTTTTTTTTTTTTTGGTACCTGGGCTGGAACTCAGGACCTTGGGCTTGCGAGGCAGTTGATGGAACCACTGAGCTAAATTCCCAGCAAAATTGTTATGTATTTTCAGAAGAAATAGATTCCTAGATACATATGAATTACCAAAACTGAATCAAGAAGATATAGAAATTCTAAATAAACCAATATCAGCCAATGAAATTGAAAATGAAATTTAAAGAACTACCAACAAGGAAAAGCCTTGGCCCTGATAGATTCACTACTGAATTCTACAAGAAATTTAGAGGAAAAAAAAAAAAAAGACAAGAAATTTAGGGAAGACCTAATGCCGCTACTTCTCAAACTCTTTAATGAAATTGAAAGGGAATCAATACTCCCAAATTCATTCCTAGAAGCAAGCATTACCCTGATTCCAAAACCAGAGACGGATCCAACCGAAAAGGAGAATTACAGGTCCATCTCCCTAAAGAACACAGATGCAAAATCCTCCATAAGATACTGGCAACCAGAATGCATCAAATCATCAAGAAGGTTATGCACCATGACCAAGTAGGGTTCATCTCGGGTGTAGGGATGGTGCAACATACGCAAATCAATAAATGTAATATACTATATTAACAGAGCCAAGAACAAAAACTATATGATCCTCTCAACAGATGAAGAAATAGCAATTTTTGTTTGTTTGTTTGGTTTGGGGATCAAACTCAGGACCTTGCACTTGCAAGGCAGGTGCGGTGCCACTGACTTAAATCCCCGGCCCAACATATAAAGATATAGGTGTACCATTCTGCAACTTGCTTTTTTTTCTTTTTATTCACTGGAAACTTAGCCAATATATTGGTACATGTAGTTCTGCTTCATTGCTAGCAAATCCTTTCTAGTGGAAAAGAATGAAATAAAAATACCAGAATTAAAGACAACAATGCAAAAGTTTCCTTACGGGTACTGATACTATTGAAGCAATGGGTGCTAGAAGCATTTATTTTTTAATTAATTTAATTTTTTTGTGGTACCGGGGTTTGAACTCAGGACCTTGGGCTTGTGAGGTAGGCAGCAGAACCACTGAGCTAAATCCCCAGCCCCCTTGAAGGATTTATTATCTAAGTGGGTCAAGCCAGGCTCAGGAAGATTATCATCTAATCGAGTGACAGCATTTACAATGCTCCACAAAAAGCAAAACGATTAAAGAAAAATAATATCCATGCCTATGTTATTTGATATGCTAAATGTTTTCTGAGTATAGCCAAAGATGAAATTAGAATTGGAAATCATTTCTAAGCTGTTCATCTGTTTTAGGTGAAACTGTGAGATCAGTTTATTTGGAAAGCTCTAGCTTGTGTTAACATTATTAAGCTGAAAATAGAACTGGATACTGTGCAAAAGTTAGTGTATTAAGTATTATTTATCAGACCAGCCACATCTTGTCAAAAGTTACTCATCTTTGTCCTTTTTCAAATACAGTGGTCCCTCAGTTCATAAATTTAATTTGTTCCATGATTCTGGAAAAGATGGTCAAAGTCATGTTCGTCATCTGATGCAGAGTTCCCAAAGAAAAACAAAATTTTGCCAAATGCTTCAAAAAGTATTCATGAACCAAAGTACCACTGTAGTTCTTCCAGGTTAAAATACATTTGGTCCTTTTTGTGTAAATGATCAAGATAAAACTTTCTTTTAAAAATATTCTGAAAGAATGAATGAGAACACATGGATGCTTTTGCCTAAAAATAGTTCTTTGGAATACCTTCCTTGTTTTAAGTGTAGCTTTTGGTCTTTTCCTTAATATTCAGTAGAATGAATACAGCTCTTTAATAAGTATTTCTTTGCATGATTTAGTCATTTGTAAGAGAGTAACTGTTCTCTTCATATCGTAGAAACTTGTTTTTTTTAATTGTACATTTATTCATTCAACAAATATTTATTGGACAATTGCCATTGGGCAGGACCTTTTCTAGACACTAGGAACACAAGAGTGGAAGCAGACAGATCTTGTCTATGTAAGGCCTACTTTCTGGTAGGGGCAGACATATAATGCACAGTTGGTGGGAAAAATAAAGCAGAGAAAGAGGGATGACAGGAAGTTGGGGGAGGTGTTGTAATTTCAAATAGGGTAGTAAGTGAAGACCTTGTTGAGAAGATGACATCTGGGTGAAAGACCTGAAGGGTAAGTAGGCTGTGAGGTTTTCTGGAAGCTGTGAAGTTTTCATTTTATGGAGAGAGAGCAACAAGTATGATTGTTCTGCTTATTCTGCCAGCTGCAAACTGAACTCACTAGTAATGGGGAGGAACACATTACAGAAATAACACAAGATACCAGAATTCTCCTAAATGATTTGTATAACATACATTAACCAGTTGTTTTTTTTTAATCATAGACTTATTGGTAACAAATTTGGACATATCAGTTCTATTGAAGAAAATTTGTTTCTTTTCATTTGTTTTCTCTAAATTACCCCAAATAGTGTAACACTGGCCTCTTTTTTTTTTCCCCCATTAAGTTTATTGGTACATTTTAGGTATACAGTACAGTTACATTCATCATTGGGATCTTGTACCTTTACATGAGTATCTTGGTTCTTATTTTTTCCCCTTCCCCTGCCCTCCCTTCACCCGCTCCACCCTTCCCTATTTGCAAAGACTTTGTTTCCATTTTTTTCCTTTTCTCATATTTTTTCTTTTCCCTTCTTTCCTTTCCCCTACCCCTCCCATTTCCCCTACTCCTTTAGACCCTTTCTTCCTATTACACAATATCAATTATACATTTTAAAAATTACAATATCAAGATCTAGAAGGCATTACCACAGATTTTACAGAATTTAAAAGGATATAGAAAGCATATTACAAAAATCTGTTTTGAAATAAATTTGACAACTTCTAAGAAGTACCTTGGAAGACAAATTAATGAAACTAACTCCGGAGGAAATATAAAATTAGAATAGCACCTATTAAAGAAAGTATATTCCTAGCTTAAAAACCTACCTATATGACAACAACAGGTTCATATACATTTTAACTGATAAATTATATCAAACATTTAAAGCAGAAAAAAGGAGCACTTCTCCCCTCATTTTAGGAAATCAATATTGTGCTAATCCTAAAACTGAATAAAGATAATGGAAGAAAAAAGTATGAACATAGATAGAAATTTGTTTAACAAAACAAACTATTAGAAGTCAGCTCTGGCAAACACTGGCCTCTTGTACACTGTTATTAGCCCATTAAAAATACCACATCAATAACTATTATTTATAATTCACTTCTGAATTTTCATGTTGGGAGAGGGTAAACAGATTTATTTTTCTAAAGTCTTACCTGATTGAACCTGTAATTTTCTGTAACAAATATGCTTTTTCCATTTTGAGACTGTTCCAAGAAGTAGACTGAATTACAACCATGGTTGATAGTTTTTTATGTATAGTCATAAATAATTTCAACTTTCTCAACTGAGAACATATTATAATTTTTATATTTATAAAGAAACAAGTTTTCTCTCAGCTGTACATAGAATATCTATGTACAACTATGTACATACAGAACCATCTGTTCTTTTCTCACTCTCAAAATCTGTGTCACCTATGGGAGTTACTATTCTTATTGCTCCCAAGAAAGACTATTCTAAAGCCTGACGTGGTGGCACATGCCTGTAACCTCACCACTTAAGAGGCTGAGGCAGGAAGATTGCCTCAAGTTCAGCGAGTTCATGAGTTCAGACCAGCCTGAACTATGTAGCAAGACCATATCTCAAAAAACAAAAAACAAAACAAAACAAAAAACAAACGAACAAAAGATGATCCTGAAAATTCCCTCAACACCCCTCACTCCCTTCTGAGGCCTCATCCCCACATGGCTGCTGCTGCTTTTTTTTTTTTTTTTTTTCCTTTTGGTACTGGGGATTGAACTGAGGACCTTGCACTTTCGAGATAGGCGTGTCACTGAGCTACATCCCCACATGACTTCTTAGCAAGCCCTGGAGGGGGCAGAGATTTAGCCCAGTGGTTCTGCCTCCTCCCTCACAAGCACAAGGACCTGAGTTTGATCTCCGGTACCCAAAACAAAAACAAAAAAACAAGCCCTGGAGAACTTTGTCCCTGATCCTCATCCGCTCCTCAGTTCTCCTGCCTTCTCTCCACTGGCATGCCCTTGAAGTCACACTGCAGAATTCCAGCTCAAGGAATGGCACTGGCCTCTGCTTGATTTACAGCAGGCGGTAAAAGTTACAACTCAGAAGAAGGCTCCTTATAGGAACTTTTGTAAAGGGTGCTTTGTGCTGGGTGGGCTGGTACATGCTTGAAACCCCAGCCATCCGGGTGGCTGATGTAGGTGGTTCAGAAGTATGAAGCAGCCTGAGCAATTTAGCTAGACCCTATCTCAAAACAAAAATTTAAAAAGGTGTAGGGATGTACCTCAGGGTAGAATGCTTGCTTGCCCAGTATGTGCAAGGCCTTGTCTTCAATACCAGTATTGAAAACATAAAAAGTGGTTTGGCTCCATTCTACTATAGTGTGAATATAGTGAGTTAAATAACTCTTGTTGGTTGATCCAGGAACCTAACTATCCATTATAAAATGGTTTAAGTAGCGTTTATTTTCTGGCAGTTTGATCTCACTTTCTCTTGTTCTTAAAATGTAATTATAGGAAAATGTACATAGCCCTCAAGTAACATAACCTAACTAGGTGTAGACCCTTTAAGAAGCAGCATTGGGATCAGTATCAGTTTAATTTCTTTGATTCTCAACACCATGTAACAGGTTTTTCCCCCACCAGGCTGATTCTAACACCAACTTTTCTGTGCTGGAACGAAGTATAAACTGTGGTGACATTGTGAGCTTTTCTGATATGTGCCACTCTAATGAAGAGTATTTCAAGAAACTAGAAGAGCTGAAGGCGGCTCACATAGAAACTATGGCAAAATTAGAGAAAATGTACCAGAATAAATTAAATTTAAAGGAAGTTCAGCCAGTGACCATCAGGGAAGATGTTCCTAGCAACTCTTCCAGGTAAGTGCTCAATGTCATTTGTGGACTGTAAAATAAAATGTACACTAAAAATGTAGAATAAAATTATTTTAGAGTATTTTCTCTTAAATATCCCTTTGTGCTTTTAATGATACACAGAGGTGAGATTTTATTAAAAATGTTTTAATGACTCACCAGGTTACTCAGTGACTTTTTACTTTGAGGGTCATTTGGTGACCATTTGGTTTTTTCTTTTTGACTCACCACTCACAGACCTGTAAATATGTATCAAAAGATTTAGGTTGTGCTATTTTAAATGACATATATTAAAGTTTAATTTTATTTTTATGTGTATATATATATATTTTTTTTTTTTTTTTTTTTTTTTTTCAGTAAAGGGGATTGAACTCAGGACCTTGTGCTTGTGAGGCAGGCTCAGTACCACTGAGCTAAATCCCTGGCCCTTAAAGTTTAATTTTAAAAGCCCATTCTAATATGTGGATTAACATGAACTCATTAAACTTATAGTACAAAGGTGCTGGGGTCAGTGGCACAGGGCTGTAATTCCAGTACTTGGAAGGCTGAGGCAGGAAGTTCTCAAGTTCAAGGCCAGCCTGTGCAACTTAGCAAGACACTGTCTCAAAATTAAAAAATAGCTCAGTGGTTTGGGCGCCTGCTGCGCAAGCGCAAGGACCTGAGTTCAATACCCGGTACCAAAAAAAAAATAGCTGGGGGTGTAGTTCAGTGATAGAGCACTCCTAGATTTGATCCCCACTACTAAGAAATAAATAAATAAATATATATATATACATATACACACACACGCTAATATATATATATATAGAGAGAGAGAGAGCACTGTACTAGTGTAGTATAGCTGATACCAGTACCATCTCAGGTATAATATATACTATATATATGTGTGTGTACATATACAATAATACCTTGGTTCATGAATGAGTCTGTTCACAATTTAGTTCCCAAACAAAAGGATTCAACAAAATTTTACTTCCGTTTAAAAACTCCATATTGGGTGACAAACACAACTGTGGGCATTTTCCCAAAATCATAAAACAAATTAAGTTTGTGAACTGAGGTACCACTGTATATAGAGTGGCACTTCGGTTCATGAACTCAATTCTCTCCACAATTCTGGTTGCAAACCAAATTGGACAAGAACCAAATCAAATTCAATGGTTAGGTTCAGTGTTGACATTATGGGGAAATTTTTTCCAGAATCATGGAAAGAATCATGTTCATGAACCGAGATATATATATGTAAATATGTATATGCTATATAGTACATATACTACTATTAGAAACAGTACAAAGAGTTCAAGACTAGGAGACATGAATCTGCTTTATGCTTTCAAAATAGTCTGTAATTTCAAGACCCATTTCTGCTTTGAACTCACTTGTGTTGAAAACTTGAGGCCAGTCTTTTAATTCACCCAACTGGTCAATGGTGATTGTGTGTCTCCTGTCTGCTACACCTTGCCTGGGCACTGAGGAGTCAAAACCAGGAAGTCCTCAAGGACCCCAAAGAGTAGCTGAGAAGCAAAAATTGCATTACAACATGTGAGAGGTTTTAATAAATGGAGGAAGAAGCCTAATGTGGTGATGCACACCTGTAATTTCAACTATTTGGGAGACCAAGGCAGGAGAATCACAAATTCAAGGCTAGCCTGGGCAACTTAGTGAAATACTGTCTCAAAAACTAAAAAAACTTTTAAAGGGCATATAGCTCAATGGTAGAGTGCTTGCCTAGCATGCATGAGCCATAAGGTTCAATTCCCAGTACTGCCAAAAGAGAAGGATGGAAGGAAGCAAGCAAGGAAGGAAGGGAATGGTAGTTGGGTACATGGTGCTTGCCTGTACTCCCAGTACTCTAGGAAGCTGAGGCAGGAGGATTTCAAATTCAAACACAACCTGGGCATCTTTGCAACTTAGGAAGACCCTGTCTGAAGATTAAAAAAAAGGTCTGGGGAATGTAGCTCAGTATGAAGGTGATGGATGTAATCCTCAGTACTGTAAAAAAGAAAAAGAAAGAAATGGAGGAATAAACAGTTGATTATGCTAACCTGTAGGTGAAGGGATACAGGAAAGAATTTTCCCCAAAAGTGTCATATTTGAGTTCAATCTTGAAAAAGGAATAAGGGTATTAAAAAAAAAACAAGCTACATTATGTACATGCACCTACTCTCCAAGATGATTGTAAACTTCATGTACTGCAAACATGTACTAATAAAATAAAAATTTAAAAAAGTTGTAGCAGATGCTGGAAGCAAGGAGTGGCACACTTGGCAGCAGAAACCATGTGTGCAAAAGCATGTGGTATGAGAAATCTTGGTGTGAGTGAGGAGAATCCTATGACTGGATATGACTTAAGTATGGTGAGGGGAGGTTGGAAGTCATGAGAGATAAGACTGGAAAGGTAAACAGAGGCCAGTCCTGAAGGGCTTTACGATCTAGTCTTTGTGGCAATGAGGAGTCATCGAAAAGTTTCAGGTAGGGGAGTGACATGATCAGATACATGGTTTAGGTTGTGAACACTAGAAAATGTGGAGAATTTAACAGAAGTTAGAGAGCCTCTGACATATCAGGTTCCTTCCCTGTAAAATAAGGGCATGAACTTAAATAATTTATAGGTATCTCACTGCTCTGTTCTAAATAAAAATGATGATTTTCACAAGCCCTATTCATTTCCTCTCTTCTAGTTGGTTATATTCTCATCTTAGAAAATATATAACTCTGGAGTCAGGTGCAGTGGGGCATGCTTGTAATCCTAGCACTTTGGGAGGCTGATGCAGGAGGACTGCAAGTTCGAGTTCTGCCTGGGCAATTTAGAAAGACCCTATCTCAAAACAGAAATAAAATAGGGCCAGGATGTATATCAGTGCTAAGGCCTTGGGTTTAATCCCCAGTACAAAAAAAAGTGACTCCAGCTTAATTTTTATGTTTGTCGCATACAATTCTATTTATTCTTCTCATTAGTTCTGTATCGGAAAATAACTCCTGCCGCCCTGTCATGTTAATGACATCACTTTCGGAGCCAGACTTAGGCCAGTCTTCCTCCTTGTATACTTCTTCTTCTGAAGAAGAGTTGCCCAACCTAGAAAGAGAGCATCCCAGGAAAAACAAAATGATGACCTACGCTAAGGAGCTCATCAGCAACATGTGGACAAACTTTTGTGTTGAAGATTATATTCAGAGTGAAGATACTGACTTCCAAGTAGCTGAAAAAACAAGGAAGAAACCAAAAGAATGGGTGCCTACAATTACAATACCTGTACCTTTTCAAATGATGATTAGAGAACAGAAGAAAAAAGAAGAGTTCATGAAATCTAAATCAGATATCGAAATTGTACATAAACTGCTCAAAAGCGAAGAAGACTCAGAGTGTAAGAAGAAATTCCGAGCCAATCCAGTTCCTGGGAGTGTCCTTCTTCCCCTTTATCATGAGCTAGTTAAGCAAAATGAAGAACGGAGGAGGGCTAGGAAGGAGAAAAACAAAGAAACTATTTTGGCCTCACAGAAGCCATTTACATTCATTGCAAGGGAGGAACAGAAGCAAGCAGCCCGGGAAAAGCAACTGAGAGACTTGTATAAGTCTAAAAAGAAAGCATATCGATTTAAAGCCAGACCCATACCTCGATCTGTTTATAGTTCGGCTACCAGTGAGAAATTAAAAGAAGAAGAGCTCCTTAGAAACATTAGGACCCAAATGAGAGCCCAACAGCTTTTACAGAACTCATCCCCTCTGGCTTATAAACCAGGTCACAAACATGTCAGGAACCCCAAGGGCCCTGAACAGGCTAGAAAATTAAGGAATAAACACAAGCCAAGGTCCCAGACGCCTGATGTTGAAAACCTTCCTGAGGAGTATAAGAAACACTTCTCAGAACACAAATATCCAAAACTCTCCACAGTCCGCAGACCACTTAATGTTTGTGCATCCTCAAGTAAATCTGCTGAAAGAAAGAATGTTTTGGCAAATGAAGAAAATTTGAAAGAAACACGTTGCCCTTGTCTGTCTCCGAGGCATAAGTCACCAGGAAGAAGTACAACTGCAAAGACCACATCTTGTGACTGCAGACCTGCAGTGCCCACAGTGTCATCCAGAGGACGAGAACAAGCCATCAGGTAAAACTGGGACTCGGGCTGTCTGACTTATAAGCTAAGCTAGTAAGTGTAGCTGTTGGTTTTATATTGGTGAGTTTGAAAATATTAGGAAACTATTGTATCTGTAACATATTTTACTATATAGTGAACATTTTGCTAAGGGTATTCTTTAAAGAAATGAATGAATTTTCCATTTTGTGAATCTCTGGGGGAGAGAAAAGGTTACAGTTAGCCTTGATTGGATTTCTAGTTTTACAAGTCAGACCCTTCCCAAAAGGCTGGTTTTTTTTCCCCAACCTTTGAATCATCTCATGTTAAATCTTTGTTAAACAATGTTCTCCTTGGCTTAAGGTGAATTAAGCCTTAGTTTATTGCCCTCAGGAGATCACTTGAGGAAAAGAAAATGTTGGAAGAAGAAAGAAATCGGATCTTAACTAAGCAGAAGCAAAGAATGAAAGAATTGCAGAAACTCCTGACAACCCGGGCTAAGGCTTATGACCCACATCAAAGTTTAGCTCAAATGTCTAAATCCAAAGTAAAATATCTCAGGTATCATGAAAGAATTCAGAACATTGGTTTCCAAACTTTTTTTCTTCTTCCTTCCTCTCCCTCCCTCCATCTCTTCCTTCCCCTTCCTCCCTTCCTCCTTCCCTTTCTTCCTTCCTTCCATCCATCCATCCATCCTTTCTTTTGACAAGGTCTTACTCTGTAGTCCAGGCTGGGTTAGGAATTGCATGGTATACCCTAGGCTGGCCTCAAATTCCTCTGCCTCAGCCTCTTGAATAGCTGACATTACATGCATGCTCCACCTTGCCTCTTTATTTTTAATCAGTGGATACCAAGATATGAACAGATTGAAAATGGTATTAGTATTTTAGTTTATGGATTCAAATTATACTTATATTCAACATGTTCACGTGTACACACACACATGCACACACCCTCATAGTGAGAACCAATGTACACACTCACCTCTGTGAGAATCATGAAGCTATGTTGATGAACAGAGACTTTTTTTCTGTGACCATAGTTAGCAGTTGCAATATTAGCATCTAACCTTTTTCTTATATGTATAAATCAATCAGTCTGTCTGTCTATCATATGTCTTGGTGGTGCTGGAGATAGAATCCAGGGCCTCATGCATGCTGTGCATACACTGTACCATTGAGCTATATCTCCAGTCCTCTTTATATCATATTTGATTGTACAATACACTAGTGAGAAAAATCTCTTTTTTGGTACCGGAGATTGAACTCAGGACCTTGCATTTGCAAGGCAGGCGGCGGAACCACTGAGCCTGAAAAATCTTGATTCACATCGTTAAAAGTTTTGGTTTTTTTTGGTAGTTAAAACTTTTTAAAAAGCTTTCCACATAATCTCAATCCTAGGATTGAACCCAGGACCTTGAGCATACTAAACCCACTCAGTACATTGAGTCCCCCCCAGCCTAGAATATTTTTTCAATAAACAGATGTCAAAGAGTTTTACTCTAGATATGCACAAAATCTGATAGCAAAAATTAGCACATTTTGGTTAATTAACACCAATTATGGTGATGTGTTGATTAACATGTATATCAGAGTTAAGTGGTGCATGTTGCTTTTTAAATTATTTTTCAGTACTGAGGATTGAAGCCAGGACCTTCACACTGAGCTACATCCCCAGTCCTTAAAAATTTTGTTTGTTTGTTTGAGACAGGTTCTCACTATATAATTCAGACTGGCCTTGAACTCACTGTGTAGCCCTGGCTGGCCTTGAACTCACGGTGATCCTCCTCTCTCAGCCTCCCCAGTGCTGGGATCATAGCCGAGTGCCACCATCCCCAGTGTAAATTTTTTATTTTGAGACAGGATCTTGCTAAGTCACTAAATTGCCCAGCTCGAATTTACAATCTCACTGTCTCAGACTCCCACAATGCTGGGATTACAGGCATGTACCATTGTTACAATTTCAATATTAAATAAAAATATTCATACAACACTTAGAACCCCTTCACATAATACTAGAATTCTGGAGTACAAAGTTTGAAAACCAGTGTTCCAGATATTGCACATGAAAATATTTATGCTTAAGAAAATATCTCCCCCAAACTGGGTAAGTAATATGATTTAGTAATTTCTAATTTGATTTATAAGAACTAAAACAATATATATATATATTTGCTTTTAATTACAATGAATATACCTTTATATTGTAGAATTTACTAATAGGAGCTTAATTTTGTGAACAGGAATAAAAATTTCCATAGATACTATTTATATGTAAGCAGTTAATTTTTTCATAGCACCAACTTGTTTATAATTAAACATAATTATAATTTTGAAGTATAATTATTTTCTGTAAGCTATGAAATATTATCTTGATTGTTTTAATATTTATTACATAGAGAAAAACAACATAGTTTAATTCATTATAGAATCTTGTCCAAAGAGTAAGTACACTTAGAGTAGATTTCTATATTTTTCATTCCTACTCCTCGAAGTGTTACATTCCCATGCTCTCATTCGTCTCTGACCTGCTTTTGTTTAATTAAGTTCTGCTAACCTTCAGGAAATCTCATTTATGGGAAAAAACAAGAACAGAGTAAATTCTTTAAAGATAAAAATCTAATTTGGATCAAATGTTCTTGGTTTTGTACACTTAATAAATTTATGAGATAAGAGAACATTCATTCAGCTCTTCAGGCCAGTTTGAAACCTCTAAGTGCATTAGGCCTTGAAGATTTCAGAAGTCAAAGTATGCAGACTGTTTCCTAGGCAATAAAACAGGTGCTCTCAGAACCTCGGGTTTTTAACTCTGTATTCCATGAGAATTGATCAATTTTAAAAAAGAATTAGAGCTGGGTATTTAGCTCAGTGGTCTCACCGCCTGCTGCGCAAGCACAAGGACCCAAGTTCAATCCTCAGTACCAAAAATTAAAAAAGAATTAAACTAAACTGTGCTCATAATTTCTGATTTTTCCTCTAAGCAAAATGTTATATATTCAAGTTTATTTTCTTAGATTACCTTTTACAAGTCCACTTCTTTTATCTGATTTTAGAAAAAGTGAAAAGGAAAGGATGAGAGAATACCGACAAGAACTAGAAGAAAGAGAAGAAAAATTAAAAATGAGGCCACTACTATTTGAAAGAGTTTCTCAGGTTGTGTTTATTGGAATTTTAAGAGCTATTGTCAGCCTTTTTGTCTTGACTTGTTTTAACATCTTTAGCTCCCAGATCTACAGTCCAGTTTTATGTGTCATATAATTATTGAGAAGTATTATTGTTTCTGTGACAGCTTCATCAAATCAGCCAAGGAAGTGATTTTTCTTAAAATTCAAGCATGAATCTTTGTGATGAAGCATATAAACTTGATAAAGAACGTGCTGATAATCCAGTTCTCAAAATATTAGTTTCACAGCCAGTTTTTAACAGCTGGTCTTTAAGTAGCAATTTGGTTATATATTAAAGTGAATGATTTGGAGATCTCTAAAGAATTAAAAAATGAAACAAATGACTAATTGAATCATATTTATTTCTGCCAATTAAAAAAAGTGCATCTATCTTATGTACGATTACTAAAAAGACTTCCTTGTAATAGGAAATCAAACTGATCTTATAGACAGTGGGTCTTGATTTTTCAAAATTTAGGCTCTTTTTTTGTTTGTTTGTTTGTTTTTTTGGTACCGGGGATCGAACTCAGGACCTTGTCCTTTCAAGGCAGGCAGCGGAATCACTGAGTTAAATCCCCGGCCCCAAGACTCATTTTTATAATCTTCCCCTTAAGAGAGATTTATCAATTTCAGTTCATGTTCTCCTTTGTTCCTGTAAGTGAATGGTTTGTATGAGTGACATTGCTTAACAACAGGAAATCACTGGAGGTTACAGCTGTTATGCTGTGAATTTCAAGCTGTTATAGTTGGACAGTAGACAATTGCAGCACTTACCTATGACAGATGAACATACTTGTGGGACTGTACTTGTCAATGACTCACCAGGGTTGATGGACATGTAATGTGGGTGAATCTACACAGTACAGTCTCTCAAAGTTATGTAATCTTTTACTTACTCATTTGGATATAATTTTATGAAATAGCTTTCCTCTTTAGGGATGGACTTTTAAAAAATCTGTTTCAACTTTAGGAGGAAGAAATAATTTTAAACTCTTCTATGTTACATAGCATAAAGTGATTAACTTTTAGCTCAAAGAAGCTATCTCCATCTCCAATCTGCAAATTCCTCACCACCTACCCCACTCCCCAGCAGTACTGAAGATTAAGCCCAGGGCCTCACACATGCTATGCAAGTGCTCTACCACTGAGGGTTTTTTTGTTTTGTTTTAATCAGGAATTGAACTCAGGACCTTGCACTTGTAAGGCAAGTGGTGGCACCACTGAGCTAAATCCCCAGCTCATATCACTGAGTTATATCCCCTGCCTCCTTTATTTTATTTTATTTTATTTTTTGAGACAGCATATTAATTAGTTGCCTAGGCTGGCTTTGAACTTGTCCTCCTGCTTTTGCCTCCTGAGTAGCTGAGATCACAGGATTATAGGCATGTGCCACCTCGTCCACTCAAACTACACTCCACGTGGATCCTCCTTTTGATTTTCTACTTTGATTGGGGGGGGGTATAATTTAGATGGCTGAGAGCTTCATATTTCTCTCCTAATTGAGTTGGTCAGAAAGACCTATCAGATTTTTTGGTAAGTAATCTTGGCTGCTGGTGAAATGCAAGGGAAATAACTATTAATTCCTACCCAAATTATAATTTGACTAGTTTTTCTGCCTTCAGTTTTGCAAAGCCACCTATTAGACCTTTACCTTGCCATTGCTGTTCTTCTGCCAAAAATGTTAACCTGGGTAGGCAAGTAGTAACCCTTGGTAACAGTGACAGTATTCCATTCTCAGTGATTTCATTCATTCTCATTGTCACTAAATGGTATCAAGGGGCCTTGTCATTAATTTCTCCAAACAATGCTGTAAAGTAGGTGTCCCCATATTATAGATAAAGAAACTGAAGTTCAAAGAAAGTAACTCATAAGTTTATACTTAGTGAGTGGTAGAACTAGAATTGGAACCCAAGTTGATCTGCTTCCATTCACTTAACCATAAGGTGTCCTGCTTCCAGAAGATAAATTCACAGGTCTTCCCATGGTATAGATATAGAATCCTCTGTGGTCCCTACTGGCCTCTTTGTCTCTCACTGCACTCTTCCTGTCCACTTTCTGTTTTCCCCATGCATACCCTTTGCTTTCAGGCCACACCACACCACTAGGCTACACTTTCAAACTTGAAGTTTTTGTGTTGTTTTCTAAGCACCCTGAGAGTCTATTTTTACCTTACTCCTACTCATTGAAGTCAGTGTAGTACAGTTAGAAACAATGGAGTTGAGGAATCACTCCTTCCATCCATTTCATTTTTAAATAGCACCCTATGGCCATTCCTCCTTCCACTGTCCTAAAAGAGGTAGAAAATAAAATAACAAAAACCCAGATCTCTGATGCTCTAGGCAAGAGCACATGTATATTGGATCTCCTAGCCTGACCTTTGGTCACCTTCATTCTACTTCCGCCTCATGTCGTGCATGCACTTAAGATCAGAGTGAATTCTGGGACAAGCTTGTATATTGATATCCCCTGAGATAACACTACATCTTGTTATTTATTCTTGTCAATTTCATCTAGAGATTCAGGACAGGCACCTGGCCAGAGGTGCATGTCCTTTAAATTCTGAAAGCCTGATCTAACTGGGGGCTGTTGCTACTTCTGTGTGCTATGACCTGTGTGCTTTTGCTTTCTTGTCACCCCACCGCCATTTTTCTGTCTGTGCCTTATCTTTTGTCAGCACACACTTGCCCTGAGCACAGCTTCCTGTGCTCTTCCATAAATATAGCTGCTTGCAACCTGCTACTGGGTGTACACTTGGCAGTTCTTTGCTCATTGTACACAAAAGCCTGGACTACACCTGCCATCACATGGTATCGAGTATACATTCACTTCTTGGATTATTTCCCCAGGCAGAGTTGGGCGCCCTTTCCTCTGTGTTCTCTTACTAGCCTGTAAACACATCTTTCTTTGCCCCCACCACAATGTTGGAATTTATCTATGTAATGGTCCGTCATCCCTTTTAGGTAATTCAATTTATGGGTAGTAGACAAATCTTTGTATTTACAGTAACTAGCACCTCACACAATATCTGGCATGATGGAGATGTTAACAAGCATTTGTTGACCCAAATCTCAGTAATTATGATCACATTAGATAGACAGTGACCTTACATTTTCTTTCTGGGGTTTGCAGGGGCTAAGAGTGCTATTCTGATGTATTAGTGATGAGTCAGCATTAATAAACTGTTTTGTAATGCTGTGGACACCCACTGTTTCTAAGCACCAAAGAAAATGTAACCAAATAAATGGTATATATAAAATTAAACCCATAAAAAATTTAAATGTTGAAAAACAGGTTACTTTTATGGCTGATATTTCTTCTCCCTCTTTTGGCCCTCATATATGATGTTTCCTTCACTCAAAACACTTTTCTTTCTCCATACTATCCCTAAATCCTGTGAGAGGGTAAGTATTCCGTTATTGTTAAATAAATGAAAGATTTACTACAAACTAAACTTCTAATGATAAAAAAAATTTTTTTCCCTTCAAACTAGGGACAAACTTTCTTTTTTTTTTTTTTAATTTCTATATTAATTGGCACATTTTAGGTATACAATACATTTACATTTATCATTGGGTATTTATACCTGAACATGATATATCTTAGTTCTTATTTTTTCCCCCATTACCTATGTGCCCTTCACTCCCACCACCCTTCCCTATTTACATAGACTTTGTTTCCATTTATTTTTTCTTTCTCATAATTTTTCCTTTCCTTTCTTCCCTTTCCCCTTCCCCTCCCACCACCCATACCCCTTTGGACCTTTTCCTATTTCAAATTATCAATTATTTGTTTTAATCATTTTCATCCTTATTTACACTTTCAGTTTCTCACACTAGAGATACTATTCAGTATTTACACATGTGTGTCCTGTTTATTTCACTTAAGAGTATGGCCTCAATATGCATCCATTTAGCTATAGGGACAAACTTTCATCATCACTTATTTTAGTTTCTGGAAGAAACAAAGGTAATCTTTCTTAGCAGTCATTGATAGAAAAAGAAAATAACCATACAACTGTTTTAACTTCCTTTTATTTCATAGTCTTTACAGTTTTTTTACGTGGTGGAATGCATGGGAGAAGTACTTCTTGCAGTTAGAAGTAGTTATACATTGTTTAGCGTGATGTAAAATATTCTTTTTTAAAAAAAATTTTTTGGTACTGGGGATCGAACTCGGGTCCTTGCGCTTGCACAGCAGGCAGCAAAACCACTGAGCTAAATCCCCTGCATGATGTAAAATATTAAAAGACGATTCTGTGTACAGAGTAGTTGTGGCAATGAATCACCTTTGTTGTGGGTTTTTTTTAACTTAATACTTTTTATTTTCTTGAAGTTTATTTTGCTGTGATGATTGCTGCTAACAGCTATTATTCAAAAATATTCACTTACAACTTTATGCCTTGCTCATTTATAAGTTAATTATGGAATCCTAGCTGTCAAGGCACTGTAGTGGAATATGTCTATGTTTCATTATAGAACAAACAATGTTGTCCTGCTTCTTGGAAATCACAGGGTTTATTAACTAAATAGATATAAATTGAATTTTAAATCAAATTCAAATGAAAGCTTACTAACTTTGATGAGTATCTTTTTAATATCTTTTATATTTAGTTTGCTTAAATAAGAATATAATATTCTTGTTCCATTCAGAGTTAGGTTTGGGGTTTATTTTCTTCTATGGTGTTTGGGGTATAGTTCTCATTTTTCACTTCAGCCTGCCTTTTAGTCCACCAACGCTTGTTTGTTGGCATTCACCCTTTTTTAAACACAAACTGTTAACTATTATTCACAGTGGTTGCATTTTAGCAGCAGTTCAAGTGTTTCTTTGTGGTTTTTTTCCATTTTCCTAGATTATCAGGAAATGCGCTAGTGGTAATTTTATGCATTGTAATCAGTTTTTACTATTTTCGTTTTTCATTTTTAACACTAGATTCCATTGGGTCCTATTATGCTAGAGTCCTTGGGCTAGAATAATATCTGACAATTACATTACTGATGTCAGGCTTTGGGCCACCCTCAAACTCCAGAATGACCACTGTCACTTAGAGAACTGTGTTATAGAGTGGAAAAGGACAGTGAAAGGTCAAGAGATTTGATTCTACCATTTGCCACCCTTGTGACCTCTGGAGAGGGCTCTTGATTTCTTAATGTTTTTTGTTTTGTTTTGGTTTATTTGGGGGGGGACAGGGTCTCACTATGTAGTTCAGACTGGCTTTGAACTCACTATGGAGCCCAGGCTGGCCTCTAATTTGCAGTGATCCTCCTGTTTCAGCCTCCTGAGTGCTGTGATTACAGGTGTGTGCCACTGTGCCTGACAGTTTCTTTATATTGGGGTTAGACTGGGTGCTAGTCCACATCCTTTCCAGTATGGGATGCTATCTGACATTGGAATGGTGCCATTCTTTTTTTTTTTGGTACCAGGGACCTAACTCAGGACCTTGCGCTTGCAAGGCAGGTGCCAGAACCACTGAGCTAAATCCCCGGCCCCGAATGGTCCCATTCTTTAGGTGGAAGTCCAGAGGGCAACTCTTGGACCTATACTGAGTAGTTCACACTCACCTATAGAAGCTAAAAATGTATAAAAGCTGTGGCACTAGTGTGAACAGTTACTTTTTAACTCCATATAGCCTGTGGTCTCAGGAACTTTGATGCTTTCAACTTGATACAACTTATGAAAGGGTTCTCACAACTCCAACAGATCTTCACACTAAGAAGTAACATTCCAGAGATTAGAACCCAGTTCTAAGTCTATGTCCTTTTTGTTATATCCTTTGCTTCCTACATGGAGTAAAGATAGCAAATTGATGATTTTATTCTTTGATGGATTTGGGATATGCCTTATAAAGAGTAAAAATTACAGTAGGCACATAAAGAGCGGTCCACTATCACATGATCTTATTTTCTTAATGATTTTTCCAGGTACCTTACATAGTCATAAAAGTAGATACAACCTAAGTACAATGTAAAGAATAATTACAGGTCATCCCTTCTTGTGGCCACTACTTGGGTTAGCAGGTAGAGCTAGCATACCAGCACTCCAGAAACCCCTTGTGTACTGCTCCCAGATCACAGCCCTCTACTTCTTCCCTAGAGGTGAACACCTTCTTACCTGTTTATTTATTTGTTGGTTATTTTTGCAGTGCTGGGGGTCAAACCCAGAGTCTCATGCATATTAGGCAAGTGCTCTACCACTGAGATACATCCCTAGCCCCGTTCTGATTTTTAAGATAAGCATTTTCTTGTTTTCTGTGCAGTTTTACCACCTATGAGCCCATGCCCAAACAGTACAGTTTAGTTTTGCCTGTTTCCAAATTTTAGGTAAGTGGGGTCGGGAATTTAGCTCAGTGGTTCCAGTGCCTGCCTCAAAAGCACAAGGTCCTGAGTTCAATTCCTGATACCAAAAAACAAAAACAAATTTTAGGTAAGTGAATCATACTAGATGTACTCTTTTGTACATTTCTTCTTTGCTTGTATTTTATTTATGATATCAATGATGTGGTAGATACCTGTAGTTCGTTTTCATTGCTTTATTTTTCTGTTGTATAAATAGATCATGGTTTATTTACCTGCCCAACTGTTGACAGATGTTGGGCTCTTTACAATTTTAAGTTATTACAGACTACTCTGAACATTATTGTACTTGTCTCCCAGGTTACATGTATAGAGTTTTTCTGGATATATAGAATTATCATTGTAGGTCACATCATAATGTGAATTTCAATCACTTTTTAATGAAAATGTAAAGTCTGTTCTCATCTAAAAGATTTGTCTTTCCTATAGAAAAATGCGAGAATGGCAGCAGAAAAGCATTATTCTAACAAACTAAAAGCACTAGGAATATCTGATGAGTTTGTTTCAAAGAAAGGCAAAAGTGGAAAAGTATTTGAGTACTTCAGCAATCAAGAGATGAAAAGTTTCACTGAAGATAAAGAAAGGTAACATATATAAGATGTCTGAATGTTTTACGTTTGAAAAAGTTCTTACCTGCAGGAAACCATACTCATCTTTATCTCTTATTTAAAAGAAAAACAAAACAGCTTTTACCCAAGGGAATACATAAAAATTGTTATAAAACGTTCAGATATTTTACCATGTTTGACACAAAATATTACATGATAATGAAGTATTTTGCTTTTTTAAAGCAGATTAGGTTTCTGGTTGATATAAATAATGAAAATAACAGCATGCTTTCCAGTTTAAAGAGTCAGTCACTCAAGTTTTGAAATAAACTAGTTCTCAGAAGAATATTTAATTTCCCAATTGGCACTTTATTCATACAGTTTTCTTTAACAACAAATTGGAACTTGAGGAAGACTGGCTATACGATGGTGTCTATTGCAAAGGGTATGTATGCCTGTAAACCAATTCATTTTTCCTTTGAAAGATTGATTAATTTCTTCTTCTAGCTTTAATGAAGAAGAAAAAGTAGAAGAGAGAGAGAATGGGCAAGAAAATTATTTTACTGATAGCAACAGTCAAGACTCTTGCAAGGATAAAGATGAAGATGATGCAGAGAGTGGAGAAGTATCTGTTGAAGAATAGAACTGCATCAGCAGGGCCCCCTCTCTGTGCCCTGCCTGCTGCTTGCAGCAGCTGCACCTGGGATGTGAGGACGGACACCTCCCATGTGTGCACTGCTGGTGAACAAAGACATTACAGCTGAAGAAAGCTGAATTCAGATGATTGGTGATTTGATCAGTTAGAGTAAGGTTTTTCCTGGGGTTTTTTGTTTTTTAAAATTGCAACATATGGTCTGTTTGCTACTTTGATCTTGTTTTTTTTTTTTGGTACCAGTGATTGAACTCAGGTCCTTGCGCTTGGACAGCAGGCAGCGAAACCACTGAGCTAAATCCTGGGCCCTGATCTTGTATTTTTAAAGTGTTTGAAAAAAAAAGGTTTGAGAATCACAGCTATCAAACTGATTAGTTAAAAAATAAGTATTATATTTGGTGGGGAAATAAGTATTATGTTTGGTGGTTTAGAATTGAGAAGCAAAGGGCCGGGGATTTAGCTCAGTGGTTCTGCCACCTGCCTCGCAAGCCCAAGGTCCTGAGTTCGATCTCCCATACCAAAAAAAAGAATTGAGAAGCAAGCCAGGCATGGTGGCGCAGGCCTGTAATCTCAGCACTTGAAAGTCTGAGGCCAGAGGATCGCTGTGAGTTCAAGGCCAGACTGAATTTCATAACTACATAGCGAGACCCTGCTTCATTCCCCTCCCCCCAAAAACCCAAACAAATGAAAAAAAGAATTGAGAGAGAAGTATTTGGCCTTTGGTGATTTATTTAAAAATACAGTATTTCTGGGGCCAGGGATTTAGCTCAGTAGTTCCGCCGCCTCGAAAGCGCAAGATCCCGAGTTTGAGTTTAATTCCTGGTACCCAAAACAAAACAAAACAAAACAACAACAAAAAAACAATATTTCTAGAAAACATGAATCAATAAAGATTTTAAATTACACTATTTGCTCATTCTTTTTCTTTGTAATACATTTCACAAAATGAATCCACAAAGTTCATCTGCTATTTTAAGTTTCTTATCAGAACCATTGTTTATAAAGTACAGTGATACCTCAGTTCACAAATTTAATTCATTCCACAATTCTGGGAAAGATGGCTGCATTTGCGTTCCTGTGGGGAAGATGGGGAAGAAGGTGTTTGTCACCTGATGTGGAGTGCATGAATAGAAGCAAAACTTTGCTGAATGCTTCTGTTCACCAACCAAATTGTTTGCAAACAGAAACATTCATGAACCGAGGCACTACTATAATTAAATGTGGAAAAATAGATACAAACTTATACTAATTTCCATACTGAGAATTTATGTTGCACTGTCATTACTTATTACTTTTATCTTTAGTTTTAGTCATTTACTTTATTTTATTTTATTTTAGGTGTGGAGGATTGAGCCAGGGCCTTGGGTCTGCTATGCATATGCTCTATCACTACTGAGCTACACCTTTAATTTTCCTAATTTTTTTTCATTAAGTTTATTGGTACATCTTAGGTATAAAATATAGTTATATTCATCATTGGTATCCTAATTTATTTTTGATATGTGCAGTATTAGAAAAGTTTTTTGTTTTGTTTTTTGTACCAGGGATTGAACTCGGGTCCTTGTGCTTGTGCAGCAGGCAGCAAAACCACTGAGCTAAATTCCCGGCCCTGTTTTTTGTTTTTGAGACAGGGTCTTACTATGCAGTTCACGCTGGCCTTGAACTACTATGCAGCCAGGTTGGCCCCAAACTCGTGGTGATCCTCCTGCCTCTATAAAAGCTTTTATACTGATTTTTGAACCTTGTATATTATCACAGATATAAATGATTATGGCATTGGTGAGTTATCTTAATTTTAGATATATATCCCCATTTTATATACACTGAAATTGTACATAATAATGTGCCTAAGGCAAGTCTTCAGAGTAATTCAGATTTTTTAAAGGGGTGTAAAGGGATTTATAAGGCACAAAAAAGTATACACTCTAAGAGAGTGGACCCCTAAGAGGCACAGTATAGTCTGGAGCTGGGAATATTTCTGATTTTGGTGGTACAAATCTGTGCAATTTGCAAACCTATAGAATGTTTGGGCTTGGTTCACAGAAGGAAAGTGATGGTACCCACAGATAGAAAGATAATGGCTCATTTTACAAATGAAAAGATGGCTCATTTTACAGGAGAAAGGCACAAGGGGTCTTTTTTTTTAAAGGTTAGTGATCTGAGATATTTTGCCTAAAACATCCTTTGAAATCTTTGTTTGTTTGAGATGGGATCTTGCTATGAGGGTCAGGCTGCCTCTAACTCTCAGTGATCCTCCTGCCTCAACCTCCTAAGTGCTGGAGCTACAGTGGTGCACCATTATGCCTGGCTCAGAATCTGTTTTTCTTAAATTAGGTTTCTGACCTTTTTACCTTATCAACTAAGCTAATTTATAGACTTATAGTATCTTTTAAGGGATTTGGGGTGTGATAGGCCTGGAAGAAAAGAAGCATAAATAAGCCTAAGTAGTATAGATATGGATAACTTTGGGTAACTTTATATCCTAAAGTCTCAGTCTTTTTAAAAGTACAGTTGACTGGACCGGGGATTTAGCTCAGTGGTTCCGCCGCCTGCCTTGCAAGCACAAGGTCCCAAGTTCAATCCCTGGTACCAAAAAAAAAAAAGTACAGTTGATAGCCAGGGATGGAAGTGCTTGCTTGTAATCCCAGTACTCAGGAAGCTAAGTCAGGATTGCCACAAGTTCGAAGCCACCTTGGGCTACATAGTGAGTTCAAGGCCAGCCTGTACTACAAAGTGGGACCCTGTCTCAAAAAACAAACAAAAAGGACAATTGATAAATTATGATATTCCTTGTCTCCTTCCTACCTCATTTCTTCAGTACTACCTCATCCCCTCCCCAACTTTGATACCTTATTCTTTTTTTTTTTTTTTGGTACCAGGGATCAAACTTGGGACCTTGCGCTATGTTCTTATGTCTGCTTCAGGCCAGAGGGAAGAACTGACCCTACCTAGCCAGGGATTGAAAGTCTCATTCTGACTGATCTAAAGGAGACAAAAGAAGCTGGATTTTGCTGTTTGATAAATCTTCATCCTGTGATAATCAGTCATCTTGGGCTGGGGATTTAGCTCAGTGGTTCCACCATCTGCCTCGCAAGCGCAAGGTCCTGAGTTGGATCCCCTGTACCAAAAACAACAACAACAAAGTCATCTTGATGCCTTTTGCCTCCTTGAGCTGGCTCACCAAAGAAAATGTCACCTGACAGGGTCCAAGGAGGTACCCAAAGCAGATAGGGAACCATGACTCCCTGCACCCATGACACAGGTTGCAAGTTTGCTGGCTTCCATTAAAGAAAAATAATTTTCAGGACACATCAGTAAGAGGCATTAAGGAATTTATTAGGCAGAATTAAAATGCACACTCAAAGAAATAGAGTATGTTACCTCCAGAGAAAGTCACTCAGATTAAACTTTTTAATGCTATTAAACTTTTTTTTGGTACTGGGGATCAAACTTGAGTCCTTGCGCTTGCACAGCAGGTGGCAAAACCACTGAGCTAAATCTCCGGCCCTGTGCTAAACTTTTTACACACTATTGCAAATTCACTATGTATAATTTTATGAGTCACTTTTTAAAGCAAATTTTTATTGTAAAAAATTATCAAAGATGTCCCAGGGTAAGACATTTACTTTTCTAAAAACAATCATCACCCTTTAAAAAGGATGAACTAGGGGCTGGGGATTTAACTCAGTGGTTTTGCCACCTGCTGTGCAAGCGCAAGGACCCGAGTTCGATCCCCAGTACCAAAAAAAAAAAGGTTGAACTAATAGGCATGTATATAATAGCAGTGTTTCATGCTTGACAATTTATGCTTTAACTATTAAGGTGGTTTTTCTCAATTAGGGTAAATATTTATAATTGATTATAATTTCTTTTCTACAGTTTATGTTAAACTACTTATCACTGTCATTAGACTGTGTTATGGTTTGTGTCTAGATGTCCCCCCAAAGCCCCATGTGGTATAGTTGGGGCTTTGTTTCAGAGATGGCTAAATCTAGTGTGTGTGATACTGGGATCAAGGGTGTGTTATTACTGAATCAGCCCACTGATTCCTTTGGTGCCACTCTAATCCCAGTAGCCTAGATAGAATATAAAAAGGGACAGAAAGAAGCTGCTAAGGTCCTTTGCTTGCTTTGCTACCTTCTGCCCACCATGAACTGTTTCTCCTCTGCCATGCTACCCTGCCTTGGAGCTAGCCAACTATGGACTGGAACCTCTACAAACTGGAAGCCAAATAAACCTTTCCTCCCTTAACTTTGGGTGTTGGTTATTTTGTGTCAGCAAGAAGAAAAATAACTACAACAGATTGTAAACTCTTTGAGACTTGGCACCATTTTAAAAAATCATCTTTGTACAGTAGTACCTTGCAACTTAGTTTGCAAATAGAAGTGTTTGGCAAAATTTTGTTTTGTTTGTGAACTCTGTATCAGGTGACAAATAATTGTGGCCATCTTTCCCAAATGAACACGAATGTGGTCCTCTTTTCCAGAGTTGTGGAACAAATTAAGTTCATGAATGGAGGTACCACTGTATTCCCTTAATCATTACGATAGGATTGTGCATATGGTAAATTAAGGGTTTGAATGAGTGAATAGGTGAATATGATTTTAATTTTACTTGCAATTACTTCAAAATGAGCACATATGGATTTAAAAACATTTTCCTTCCTGCTGGGCACAGTGGTGCACACCTGTAATCCCAGGAAGCTGAGGCAGGAGTATTGCTGAGTTTGTGGCCAGCCTGAACTACATAGCAAGACCTTGTCTCAAAAAACCAGCCAACCAGGGCCAGGGATTTAGCTCAGTGGCACCACGCCTGCCTTGCAAGAGCAAGGTCCTGAGTTTGATTCCTGGTACCACAATACAAACAAACAAAAAATATTTCTTTTCCAATTTATTGAGAACCTGTGAAATACAATCTATAAATTGTTATATTTGAACTGCTTCCAAGGATTCTCTCCATACTCCGTCCCTTATAAGTGTCATGAGGGAGAATGGGTTTTGGTTTTAAGTACTTGGCTTCAGGACCAGTCTTCAGTTTTCTTATCCTTTAAAAATAAGGATACTGGCCTTAGCCTCCCAGAGTGTTGGGATTACAGGCCTGTAGCACCACATCCAGCTACTTAGCCACTTTGAAATTTGGCTTCTCCATTTTTTTGGTGGTCTTGGGGACTGAATTTGGGAGTGTTGAATGCCATTCTCTGTCTTTTTTTTTTAGTTTGAGACAAGGTCTTGCCAAGTTGCCAAGGCAAGGCTTGAATTTATGGTCCACTTGCCTCAGCTTCCCAGAGTAGCTGAGACTACAAGTGTGTCCCACCATGCCTGGCTCCACTTTTGTTTCCTTTGTGTAGTATGAGTTGTAAGATTTGACCTTGGATCTAGACTGAAGTAAGCATTATGTATCTTATATAAACTGGCTCAACTGTTTGAGAACAGTTTACTACTATCTTGAAGACTAGCCATGTTCTGGGGCTCTAAGGGTGGCAGGAGGAAATTTGTTTACTGCTGGTTGAAGGAACCATAGTCTGGGTTAATTTTAGTTCAAGTTCCCCAATGGGGAACTTGGCAGAGCTTGGAAGCAGAAGAAATAATTCATGGATTTGGACTGTTACCCACTGAGTCTGGAATCCTACCAGAGCCGGCTGCCTATTTTTGCTGATCCTGATACCTTAGTCAACTGGGACTTTGTGGAACAAGGGCGTATCTGTAGCCATGAAGTGCCGTCTTGCCCAATATGCCTCTGTCCACCTACTGCAGCCAAGATAACCCGTTGTGGACACACCTTCTGCTGGGCATGCATCCTGCATTATCTTTCACTAAGTGAGAAGACCTGGAGTAAATGTCCCATCTGTTACAGTTCTGTGCATAAGGTTCTCAAGTGTTGTTGTCACAGAATCATGCCAGTATGTTGTTGGTGATACCATTACAATGCAGCTGATGAAAAGGGAGAAAGGAGTATTGGCATCCTTGCCCAAGTCCAAGTGGATGAATGTAGACCATCCTATTCATCTAGGAGATGAACAGCACAGCCAGTACTCCAAGCTTCTGCTGGCCTCTAAGGAGTAGGTGCTGCATCAGGTTGTTCTGGAAGAGAAAGTAGCCCTGGAGTGGCAACTGGCAGAGGAGAAGCATACTCCCGAGTTGTGCTTTGTTGAGGCAGCTATCCAGTAGCTCAAGACTCGGGAAGAGGCTCTGTCAAGATTGGCTGAAAGCAGAGGGGAGGTCCCTGGTGTCATTACTGCTCTGGAACAGCTAGTGCTGATGGCTCCCTTGGTGAAAAAGTCTGCTTTTCAACCCAGGAAGGGTGTGCTAGAATATCCGTCTGCCGGAGAAGTTTGTTCTTTGGACTCTCCTCGCCTAGCCCTCTTGCTCTCCCTCTGTTAGAAGAGGAGGAAGCAGTGTCTGAACCAGAGCCTGAGGGTTTGTCAGAGACCTGTGATGACTCGGAGTTAGCTGATGACAGTCTTGGGGAGGGGACCATTTGTATTGAGTCCAGCGAGCAGGAACCTGTCACTAAGCCTGACTTCACACACCTGAGCAGCTCACCTTGTTACTACTTTTACCAAGGAGATGATGGGCAGCACATGTTCCTGCACCCTATCAATGTGTGTTGCCTTGTGTGAGAGTATGGCAGCCTGGAGCGGAGCACGGAGATCTCAGTGACTGTGGTGGAAATCGCCGGGTACCCCATATCTGAGGATGTTCGACAGCATCATAAATATCTCTCTCACTTGCTACTCACCTGTGAGATCAACATCTGTGAACTGGCTCTGCAGCCTCCTGTGGTCTCTAAGGAAACCCTAGAGATGTTCCCAGATGATATTGAGAAGAGGAAGCGTCAGTGCCAGAAGAAGGCTTGGGGGGAATGTCACCGAGAATGTAGGATTGAGATGGAGGAGAACAAGAAACAGGGCAAGTATCTGGAGCCCACATTCCCCTGGAGAATCTATAGAAGTTTCCTGCCTTCAACTCATATACCTGCTCTTCTGATTCTGCTTTGGGTCCTACCAGCACTGAGAGTCATGGACCCCTTTCCCTTTCTCCTCTTAGCAGAAGTCCAGGTTCTCATGCAGACTTTCTGCTGACCCCTCTGTCATCCCCTGCCAGTCAGGGCAGTCCCTCATTCTGCATTGGAAGTCTGGAAGAAGACTCTCCCTTCCCTTCCTTTGCCCAGTTGCTGCAGGATGGAAAAAGCAAAAGCAGATGTGTGGCCCAAAACTGCTCCAAAGAAAGATGAGAATAGCTTAGTTCCTCCTGCTCCTGTGGGCAGTGATAACTCTGACTGTGTTCCTGTACCCAGTTTCCAGAATTCTTTCAGCCAAGCTATTGAAGCAGCCTTTGTGAAACTGGACACACCATCTACTTCAGATCCCCTCTCTGAAGAAAAAGGAGGAAAGAAAAGGAAAAAAAAGAAACAGAAGCTCCTGTTCAGCACCTTAGTCATCCATACCAAGTGACACTACTGGTCCAGGCTACCTTCTCATCTGGTTTTCTTTTTTCCATGCTTTTGTTTTGCTGCTGTAATTTTTTTTTTTTTTTTTTTTTTTTTTTGGTACTGGGGATTGAACTTGGGTCCTTGCTCTTGCGCAGCAGGCGGCAAAACCACTGAGCTAAATCCCCGGCCCACAGCTGTAATTTTTAAGTATTTGAGTTTGGACAGATTAGCTTGGACGGGGGGAGGGGGTTTCCACATGTGAGGGTGAACCAAGCAAATTTTAAATACAGTATATTTTCCAGCTTCCTGTCTTTACACCAAAATAAAGTATTGGCACTCAAAAAAAAAAAATAAGGACACTACCTATCTTTGGTAGTTGTTGGGAAGGTTGGATGAAATCATATTTGGAAAAACTCTTTGCAAAATATGATATGATAATGTCAGAAGGCAGAGCATTCCCAAGAAACCTTTTGAGGTGGGGTTGGGAGGCATGGTGGAGGCAATAGGACCCATACTGAGCTATATCCCCAGCCTCTTCTTTTTTTTTTTTCTTTTTTTTGAGACAGGGTCTCACTATGTGGTTCACGCTGGCCTTGAACTCACTATATAGCCCAGGCTGGCCTCAAACTTTCAGCGATCCTCCTGCCTCAGCCTCCCGAGTGCTGGGATTACAAGTGTGTTCCCCACCCCCTGGCTCTTTTTTCTGATTATAATGAAAAAATAATCATTGGGTCACAGGCATAATCTTGAAATAAAATGATAATTTTCTAAGGAAAGGAGGTGTGACTATTGTTTGGCTAGCAATTATTTGCTTCATTAGTTTTAACTGTATTTTGCTGGAGGTTCCACCATGCCCAACTAAAAACTCTCTATTTCCCAACTTTCCTTGCAGTGAGGTTGCCTTATTTATACCATCTTGGCTAGAGAGAAGTGAGGTTTTCAGGAAAACCTTCGAGAAGGCCAACTTGGCTCTTTGGCCTTTGCCTTTTCTCCTTCCCTCCTGCTTCCTTCTTGGAACTCAAATGTGATAATGAGAGCCAGAGTAACAATACTGCATTTAGTCATGAGGAAGAGAAGGAAAATCAGAAATTTTGGCCCTCATAACTTTGAGTAACAAAATTTAGCAACTGCCGACCTCTAGATTCTGTTACCTTGCTTAGTTCTCAGTCACTTTGATTTTTATTAAATGCAACAACACAATTCCTAACTCAAGAGATATGCCCAATTTATCATTAAATTCACGGTTGGAAATATCATTTACAAATTTCCACAAGCTGTGTGATCATGGTAAACATGTACAGCAAGGTCAGTCATTTACTTTGAAGAATGCTCACTTTTTCCAAGAAGAAAAACATTTCCATTTATCTGTGAGAAAAGCAAAACAGGACATTAGCAATGGAGGCTTTCTCAAATAATCTTTGTTTATCCTAAATTATTCCTAAAAGCACAGTATATTTTGTTATAAAAACAAGCTATCTTGAGAGCTGGGGCTTTAACTCAGTGGTGCCACAGCCTGCCTGGCAAGCGCAAGGTCCCGAGTTCGATCCCCGGTACCAAAAACAAAAACAAAAACAGGCTATCTTGTCACAGTATAATAATCCTTAGAGAGTGAGTAAACTACAGTATCCATTTGCCAACTCTAAAAGTTAATGTTCCTGAAAACCATGGCAAGAAAGATGTGTGGCTGAAAAAACTAAAACATTTCATGGGAACATAGAGACAGAGGGACCAAAAACGGGCAGGTAGAAACCTAACAAGCTCAGAGCTATTTTGTTTTGCAGTGCTGGGGGTTGAAACCAGGGTGTTGTGCATGCTACCACTGAACTACTGCCCCAATCCTTTTTAAAATTTCCTATTTCAAGACAGGGTCTTGCTGAGTTATGTAAGCTAGCCTCAAACTTGTGATCCTCTTGCTTCAGCGTCTTGAGTAGCTGGGTTTGCAGGCATGTGCCACCATATCTGGCTAAAAACCATACAAAATCTGTATATCTTTTAAAAATGCTTACTAATATGAAATAGTCCATTAAATATCAATGAATATATATGTATATATATTCATATTCATTGGCCCTCATAACTTTGAGTCACAAAATTTAGCAACTGCCAACCTCTAGATTCTGTTGCCTTGCTTAATTCTCAGTCATTTTGATTTTTATTAAATGCAACAGAACTATATATATAATTGTATATGTATATATGAACATCATAGAATTTTCTTTGTGTATAAAGTAGAGTGCAAATCTGGCCAAATGATGAATAATTGGCTAAAATTTGGAATACCTTGCCCATCAAGAATTTTTCATGACTTTTCTTTCTCCCATAGTTTAAGATTTTGTAAATGTGTTTTACTCTCAGGGTAGTAGAGAGGAATTGTATTCTGCCTCACCTTTTTTTCCTACAAGGAGGCTCTGAACTAGTACTTTCTACTACTGCCCTGTTTCATTCTTCCTCTCTCTAAACCCTCCAGTTTCTAACCTCAGCCCCAGTGGGTGAGCTGGACTAACTCAGAAGGGCACTCAGGCCCACCATTGCTTCTGGAGCCATTGGGAAAATACAATTTTTAAGGAAAGGAGAATAAGTAGAGAGTTTAAAAGCAAATAAATGCAAAGAGAAGCTTATCTTATTCATAAATAAGAACCTCTATTTTGTTTGTATAACTGCAGTTTTAAGCTGCAGTATTTCATGTAATATTTCTGGAATATCACATCCAACCTGTGAGGCAGGTAAAGTATCCTTTCCACACTGCTGAGGAGGTTGGGCAATGTCATGCTGCTCATGATGACAAAATCCTTACTGGTTCAGTTGCCTTATCCTGCACCCCTGAGAGCAATTCAATTTCTCCGTTGACCCAGAAACAAAACCGTAAATAGCTTGTTTAAACTGTCACAATGTGAAAGTTAATTTATATATAATCTTTAGTAGAAGTACTCTGGATTGAAAAGAATTCCAGGGATGGGGTGTGTGTTAGTTACTTTTCTTATGTTGCTCAGACAAAATGCCTGACACCAAAAGGGAGAAGGTTTATTTAGCTCACAGTTTATAGAGGTTCAGTCCATCATCAGCTGGCTCCAAGGCAGGGTGGCAGAGAGGCCACAGTTCATGGCCCTGGAAGACAGCAAAAGGCAACAAAAGAGGCAATAGTTCATGGTGGTGGAAAACCACAAAAACAAGAGAGCTTTACAGTGTCTTTCTGCTCCTTTTATCTTATTCAGACTACCAGGATTAGGGCGGTGCCAAACCATCACTCACGTGTAGTGGTTTAGTAATCACATGCCCTTAATCCTAGCATCACACACTATAGATTCACCCACTTATGACTGAATGAGGTTTTGGGGGACATCTAGACCCAAATCATGACAGGGTGTGTGTAGCTCAGTGATACAGTATTTGTCTGGCATGCTAGAGGCCCTGAGTTTGATTCCCAGCCCCACACAAAAAGAAAAAAGAATTCTGAAAGTTTATATCCTTCAAAAAGTAAACACTCAGACCAGAGGTTTAGTTCAGTGGTGCCAGCACCTGCCTCACAAGAGCAAGGTCCAGAGTTTGATCCCTGGTTCCACAAAAAAAAGAAGAAAAAAAGTAAACACTCTCTAGTTTGTTTTAAATAATATGCAGCAACAAGCCACCTGACAGTGTACTGTTTGACACTCTCAATTTATTTGGTTTCTGTGAGGTCCAAGGATATGTGTCGTATTCCAGAAAATAATATATAAATGTCTCAGTATCACAATATAGCAGTTTAACCACTCTATAAACTACGTAGAAATGCTTTCTCTTTTACTCTTGATTTTGAACAACTTTAAATTTATACAAAAACTGAAGGAGAATATTCATATACCCTTAACCTAGATTCACCAGTCACCATTTTGCCAAATTTACACTTTATTTTATACACACACACACACACACACACACTAAGTAGTAGACATGTCATTTTATCCCTAAATATTTCAGTAGTTATCTCCTAAGAACTAGGACCTTCTATAGAACCACAGTGCCATGCCATTAAAATCCCTAAAAATCATATATATATATATTTGCATTTGTATATATATTTATATATATATTCTCCCCCATGGCCTCAAGCATGGTGTGTGCTCTACCACTGAGCTACACCCCCAGCCAAGAAATCTAATATTGATGCAATAATATATAACATACAGTTCATATCAAATTTACCCAGTTGTACCAATACTGCTACCAGCAACAAACCTAATGAGTAAAGTTCAAGTAAAGCAGTTGTTTTCCTTTTTAATCCTTAAAATAAACCCCACCAAACATGTATAGTAACTTTTGTATTCAAAACATTAAAATCTAGAAAACACCTCAGATGTAATGTGTAACTAAGACAGATATTACAGTGCAAGAGATGTAGCCCAGGGGCAAAGAATTGCCTACCATGTGTGAGACTCTAAGTTTGACCTTATAAAAAAGTCATCAGGAGAAATTAATGGAAACTTTTGTTTTCTATACTGATGATTGAATATAGGATCTGTCACTGAGCTACATCCTCAGCTCTTTTTTTTTTTTTTTGATATGGAGTCTCACTAAGTTGCTAAGTTGCCCAGGCTGGCCTCAAACTTGAAAACCTCCCACTTCATCCTTCCAAAGGTATTACAGGCATTCACCACCATGCCTTGGTTAAAAAACTTCTTATTTTAAAGAATCCTGTGGTGTGTGGTGATGTATGCCTATAATCCCAACTACTTGGGAGGTTGAGATAGGAGGACTGACTGCAAGTTTGCAGCCAGCTGGGGCAACTTAGCCAGACTGTATCTTATCTCAAAATAAAAAAATTAAAAGGCCTGAGAATGTAGCTTAGTTGTAGAACATTTGCCTAGTATGCATGAGGCCATGAGTTCAATCCAAGTACTGCAAAAAAAAAAAAAAAGACATATATGAAATATATACTAAATTAATATATTCTATAATATATTATATCTCTATTGTGATCTACAGGTCTAGATTTATATCCTAGGAATGGAACCACAGATTTCATGCATACCTACTACCATCTGCATTAGTCTCAGAAGTGTCACCTTTTTGTGGCAACTTGTCCTTCCCTAGAGCTCTTAGACTTTGGACCTCTGACTTCCTCATCTCCAGCCACCTCTTCTCTTCCACCTCAGCTGAACAACAGCTGAGTGATTCCAAAATCACTCATTTGAAATCCACTTTTGCCTGCAGCTGCTAATGACTCCAAACTTGATGCTATACTTTTCTGTTTACAATGTCCCAAATATTATTAAACTTTAGATTACACACTTTACTTGTTCCTTTTTTTTGTCCTTGTAGCTTTAAACTTGTTTTGCTCCTTAACTATCATCTTTGAGTTTCAAGAGGCGCTTTCCTCCTTTCATGATATTTTCTCTTCCACTGAGTATTTCCCTAGTTTTCTTCCTTCCTTGCCAGTAGCTTCTGCTCTTTGCCCTCTAAGTGTTCCTTAGGGCTCCATCCCTGTGCTTTTTTTGTCTGTGCAGGTGATGCCGTCCTTTCCTGAAGCATCTACGGTTGGAAATTCTCAGTTGCATCTTTCAATCTCAGATGATCCCTCTGAACTTTACCTTTTAAGGACAACTACACCTCATATGCAACCTGCCCAAAACCAGTTTTCAGTTTTATTGCTTCCTCATTAAGTGGCACTGTCGTCTTCCTATTTCCTCAAGACAGATACCTGGAAGTTGTCATTCCTGGTTCCAGCTTCCTCCTATGTCCAAGTCATACTATAAATCCCTCCAGAAGTATCACACCCTCCCTCTAGGGCAAATCATGGCACCTGTCACCTGGATCCATGGGATTCAGCCTTTTATGATTGTGTGCCCTACAAGAAAAAGAAATTTGATCATGCACCTCCAGTGTATTTTTATATATATTTAATATATATATTTAATAATATTTA